ACGCATTTTGCAAACAGTTTCAGACAGACACACATTAGTTTGTTATATTTTGTGGAGCTCAAGTTCACTCGTCACTACTCGTACGTCATACCTTATGGTGCGTTCAGAAACAACAATAATTCAGTTACATAAAATCCTTTTTTTCTGTTCTGTGCTTTATTGTTTATAAATAAATAGCTTATTCTAATCTGAGTTATATTTTTCTTATTCGTCGGCCAATTCTACCAGGAATATAAAGATAACATTGAAATAAAAAGATAAGTAAATTTTTGTACATTTTAGTGTTCTAGATCTTGTGTTGCGAACGCAACCCTATTCATATAGAATTGAAGGAAGATTTATATATATTATATTATATAGTACCTGGATGACCGAGCATTTCTCGGTATTTTTTTTTTTTGGAAATCGTGTGTTTTGGAAGTTATATTTAGATTAAAAATACATACTGATAAAATATGAAGAATATTTTTTTGATCTTACCGACATAATAGAAAAAAACTGAACTGGTTATTAAAATGAAAAATCATGAGTGCAATAAAATTTTCGTATTTTTAAAAAAATACTACAAAAAGGGCTCGAAATAATAGATTTTCTCACAAAAGAAGGGAACTTGAAAAAAAAAAGGTAAAAAAGTCAATCCTAAGACATGACGCGAACCAGGGAATTACGATTTCGCGACAGTGCGTTATCCACTTGAGCTATTACGATCATTATTATAGTGTTAAAATTTACCTTCTTATATTGTAGCAGTTTTTCATTGCCTGAAAACGGGGACAAAACGACATTATATGAAAAACGTTGGAGCCTTTTCCGAGATTCCGATTATATATATATATATATATATATATATATATAAAAAAAAAAATATATATACAAGAATTGCTCGTAGGTATAGGATTTATATTTTTGTTTTACTAAAAGCTTTTGTTGAGTGCTTCGAAATTAGGAAATATTATTTTCAAACTTCCTGGATTATCACAAAATAAATTCTGTTATAGATTTGTTGTTATCTCTTGTTAATGAATTATAGTTTCTTACGTGTTGGTTATGAAATGTCTAATTATTGTAATAACTGGTACTGTTACAAATCATCAGTGTTATTAGTTTTGAGTGAATGGGCATGTTTCATTATAATTATGGTGCTTCAAATAGGTACTTCTGTTTTGATAAAAAATTCAATAGTGTAATGTAATAAAATAAAACTGCGTTATATTGTAATTAATGTTGACATAATTTATTTCCCAAAGTTATAAATCAATTAAATAGTTTACGCCAACAAATATAAATTTTATTTTTATAACAATGTAGCGTTTTGTAGTTCTGCCTACCCAAAACATTAGCACATACACAAAAATTAAAAACTTGTTTTTTTACATACACGCCATCTAGTGTTCTAGCTTCGTAAACGTAGGGATACGTCTGTGTATGTAAACGACACTATATTCAATGACAGATGTTATAATCAAAATTTATGTCAAATTGGGTGGATTTTGAGGCAATGATATGACCCATTCCAATAAAATGTAATATCCGATAACCGCAAAGTCTACTCCTACTACTTAATAATTTTCGAAGTACACAAAAATGCAAATAAACTAAAAATGTTGACTTCAGCGCCATCTTGCGGGAGAACTGCTGGGAACAGTCCGTAGGTTTCACCTTAATAAAACTGGACTTTGGGGCGATGGAGTCGACATCGTCGTCGTTAACCGATTGGGCCATGGAGCAATAAGCGCAAAAAAATCTAACGTGACAATTTACCGCGGTTAAGGGGATATAGAAAATCAGCTCAAATTCTAATTTCGCCCCCACTTCGCCACGCGTCGTATGCTATCTACCGACATGTTTGTAATCACTAATACTGTAAGTGGATAGGTCGGCAGATACTTATTTCATTATGTTTATCATATTTATGCCTGTTTCTTTACGCCAAGCCAGTCTCTTCTTATTTTTATTGCGGTTATTTCCCATTTTAATTTCACGTCGTCCTGTTGCGTAATGTGTATTCTGATTGTAAGCGACACAGCTTCCCCCTTCGAAAGCCGAAGCAAGGCTGATAGGGACTGATCGGGCGGCAGGAAACAAGCTTCATGACGCCGATAGTTTAGGTAATTTCTTTTTACAGTGAAAATAATGGTAATTAAAAAAAATAATAAAAAAACATAAGCCCTGCTTTATAGTTAGTTCAGTTAGTATGCAAAGTTTCATGATATAATTAAAAGTATTTTATGAATACCAGCGGTTTATATTTCAGTTTGGAGGTGACTTTGGATTTTTTTTTCTATCGAGAAAATTTTACGGAATCGTGTTTTCGTCTAACATAGTACATAACATTAATCCCCAACTTTACCATGTATTTATTACAGAATTAATGCTGCAATATTTTCTACATAACGGAGGATCTTGCCAAGCCATTTGATGTAGTATTTTTATTATTTCCCCCTTAAGAGGGCATATGCGTTTCGCGTCGAAAACTACATGTTTTATGGTTTTTCCAAAGGCGATATCGTAACGACGTGAGGAGATTATTTGTTGAAAATTAGGGCTTTAGAAAGATGAAGTATTTATTTAGTACATAGCAGTGCAAAATCATAGTTTTTAATGACGGTTTTTTAGGGCGAAGACAATCCCTTCACTGTGTTTTACGAAAATATGCATCAGAGTTATCTTTCAGGTTGAATACAACCATTATTATAAGCTAAAATACTTTATTTTAAGCGTTATTATAATGAAATATATAGTCTTTTAGGGTATAGCAAAACCTAAATTACGATAATATTTCGATTATAAAATAATATTATAAAATCACCAAAACTGTCTACTTCAATGTAATTTCTTCCATGTATTTGCTTATAAACATATCTATTTTAATTATTTTATCAAAATACATGTAATGTTAAATATCCAAAAAAAAATTCAGCTCGTTTTATTTTGTCAATTATTTTATATAATTATTTTAAAAATACTATAAAACATCATGCGCAGACGCAGTTTGATTCGGTACGCTCCGGGTAATCCCAACGACAGGACGTATTACTTTTTCTCACCGACACCGCGCGATCGCGTTGATACACCGATAGGGCAAATATTCTTTATTTTATTTAATACAAATTAAAAAAAAAATATACTACACCATACTATAACTAGATACCTATAGCACCATCGAGCATTTTAAACGATTCACTTTTATAAGCGATATTTTTGGTAGTAAGTAATTTTGAAATATGTTTATGATTGTAATATTTAAATATTAAATGATGTAATGGTGGCAAATTTTCATTTCATACATATTTTTTTTAGAAATGAGTAATTGAACGTAAGCAATTCGGATCAAGTAAAAATACAAAATCGTTGGCTTTCACCTTTGGCTCCGTGGCGGAGTGACTTGGTAATGATTTATTTGTAGCGCTGAGCGCCGCAGGTTCGAATCCCACATGGAACAAAAATCTGTATTACCTACAAATAATTGTTTCAGGTCTGGATGTTTGTCCTTGTGAAATTAATGTATTTAAACTGCCCCAACTATGTATGTACTTAGGAAAAATTCCTAGTGTGGAGATAACGTTATGATCAAAGACATGCCATCAAAAACATAACTTGTAAAATAACCAAGTCTCGCAATGATGATACGGCCGTGCCGCTGTTTTGGTCTACATGGCGGGGGCACTACCGTGCCCCCAGATATAAAACATATGAGCCGTGCTTGAGTTGAGTAGCTCAATGGCGTAGTGCTCGCCGTAAACGCGAACAATCCGGGCTCGATCCCCGCTAGTGTTGCCAGGTGTCCCGATTTGCGCGGGACGTCCCGATTTTCAAAAGTCTAGTGACACGTCCCGATTCATCATTGATCGGGACGCCAAATGTCCCGATTTTCACTAACCTTCTTATTCTATACTTTAATCCATAATTATGACAGCAAAAATGATTATATCTGTTAGCTACCACCACATTAAAATATTTTTACTACGACATTGTCTCACCAGTCGAAAAAAAAACCACAAAAGTTTTAAACAGAATTATATTAAAATGAGTGATTTGAAAAATTCAGGGACTGCAAAAAAAAAAAACAAGTAGTTCAAAAATGTTTTAATTTGCCTAAAATGAAAAAAAATCAGTTTTTACGATGTTTGGATGAAAAGTTATTCGTTCATGAGATCAGACTCGAATAATAATTATAAAGCACAAAAGTAAAACAGTACCATTTTTACAGCATCTTCTTCATCTTCGAATATTTACAGTTAGCGTTGACCATCTGAGCTACCACGGCTCTCAATAAAGCACAAAAGGCTACAAAGAAACCTATATTTTGTAGTCATTCTAGTTGTCCGGATATGAAAACCAAATCCCCGATTATTTTTACCTTCCGTCCCGAAATTTTACTTGCTAGACCTGGCAACACTAATCCCCGCCGACACTGATGAAATTGTTAGTTTGATGAATTATGTTTACATTATGAAACAGAATAAAAGTTTTTCAAATGATATATATTTTATACAATACATATTTTACAATTAGAACATATACATATTATAATATACTCAATAGGGTGAAAATGTAAAGCCGACTTCAATTTACTAAAAGAATACCTAAAACAATTTCCACATATTAGCCTCCGATTTCTATACACTATATAAGTAAGCCATTATATGGAAATTATTTTTTTATTATTTTAGTTCCAACAGTATCAAAGACAGGTATATAATCAACGATCAAAGTGATTCGTAGTCGTCGTTAGGCAACTATTATAGCCTCGCGCTCGCTCTGACACGCACACAGAGATAACATTGTAGTGTGCGTCATTATTACGCCGTTCCAAAGCGATCGCGTAGATTTCGACTTGGACATATTTGAATATGTGCTCTTAATAGCATAATCCGCGCATAATTTGTGCCAGCATTCTTGCCATCATTCCATGCGGGCATGACTTGTACAGTAAGTAGTTATAAGTTTTACTGCACAATTTAAAAACAATTTACTATAAAAAATATAAAAAGTTAAACTTATTTTACCACTTTCCTGAAGATCGTTTTTTTCAATGGCACATGGAGACAGTACATTGCCAATCGTAGAAATACTTGGATGTGAAATGTTTGCCTCGACTGATGGTTCTGGAATTGTAGAAAATAATATTATAATAATTTATTATAAAGGCGTACAAAGGGCAAATATAATGCCTTTTTATATTATCTCCGAATGAACCCACGACGTGAATGTGAAACAATGTGATGGGTGCCAAAAATAAAAAGCACATTATTGTAAATGGGTAAAAATTAAAAAAGAAAATAAATATTCATCATAACAATACACATTTGAAGTACAAATAGATATATAACTTAAAATGTTAATGCTTGACAGGGTTGGACCACACTCATAATAGAATTTCAGCATAAAATAGCAGTTTAATGTTGCTGTGTTATGTAAGGTGAGTGTAGAGAAACAAAGATCCTTTTACAGGAAACGAGGCATTCCATTTTTGTCTTTAGGGGTTACAAGGTGTCTTCATTTGATTCTTTATCGAGGATAAATGTAGATGTCTATGGGCCACAGCACCCACTAACCATCTGGAGTTCTATCATGCATTTAGGAAAGCTATTGAAATTTGTCCTTGAGATAAGGAGTGGATGGATCATTTTAGATAAAGAAGAGAACAAGCTAAATACTTGAGTCACGCCTTTACTTTACAGTTAGCCATTTAAGGCAGAGTGATAGTGAGAAATATAAACATACTTATGAAGACTGAAAATGTATCTAATGAGAAGACACTCTAGCTTGTTAAGGAAGATTTAATAATGTATTTTGGTATGGGCAAAGGGATGTCTCCATGTCTACTTTGGTAAATTCTATTTGACAGAATATAATGTTGACTTGACTCCAGTATAAATGTTGAATAATTGCATATAAAAATGATAAACGAATAGTGATGTCTATTAAATACAGTCATATTAAAATTATGTGCTACATGCTATACATTTTTGTACTAACTTGTATTTGACTACACTTAAAATAAATGAGTACCAAGTACCAACCAATATTTTCCTTTTGTAAGGTATAGAAGATAGCATGCTCATTTTCATACATGAAGGAGTCAAATTTTGACAATCTAAAACAAAAACAAAATAAGGTCAAATGTTATAATTATTTTGATGATGAATAAGGCAGAGCGGGGGGCTATCGGGCTAGTATAGTTGGATGTATTTCGAGTTTAGGCTACCCCAGGCTTTAAATTAAATCATCTGAAAAAATATCATAATTTCAGATTGAACTTTTTTACTCAGTAGTGCCCAAAGGATATTTTGATCCTTATCTATACATATAGTAAAATAGTAATGAGTCCAACCTGTTCAGCTTTTGTAGGGAGTTTTTAGGGTTCCATAGTAAAACAAGGAATCTTTATAGTTCTCTACATGTCTGTTTTTCACAGGCATTTTAAAAATATAATATAAGAGCAGTACAGTTAGAGAGATAGGAGTTGTTATTAGGGCTAGAAAGCAGTTTGCACTTTTGTAAAAGTATTGTTGTTGTTTTTAGCCTAAAATGTCAAATAAAAGTGTTACGTGGAATCACTTTGTAAAAAAAGGGATCGAGTGGAGTGTGTGCGAACCACTCCTAACACAAGCGTTTCAAGCTTACCAGGACTGGTTAAAAGGAATATTAGTAATGTTAATCAATAATATATTATTTTTAAAAAAATATTACAGTTTAGAAGTTAAAGAAAAAAAATTGAAAATTCTTGAAATTTCATGTTTGAAAATGTCGCGATTAATCGAAAATCGATCTTTTATTCCTCGATTTAATCGATAATCGATTCAAGTACCTTCGATTCAAATCGATTCAGAGATCGATTTTTTTAAGAGTGAATCGACATGCCTATTTCATACAAATTGGTAAATAACACGCAATTACAAAATAAATTTGACAAATGATTGATGTTAAACGTCAGATAGTGTAGGTTCCGAATATTTTGAAAGTATCGATACCTACTCGATACCAAGTATCGTATCAAAAGTATCAATACTACTTGGTATCGAGTACATTTCGTTAATTTTGGAGACGAAAAATTATGACAAACCAATTAGATGCATAGGAAGAGCTGATAAGTGCAATTATATATGTATATAAAGTAGAATAAAGTTCACTCTTATTAAGTTCCACCTTAGTACTTGTATTTTATTGTTTGCAACTTGTTTGTATTTCTTAATTAGTACAGCTTTTGTACTTTTATTTTATTGTTTGCAACTTTCTGTATTATCTAATTCTTACTACAATAAAGTGTTTACCATATTTTTTTTGTAAATAGTACTCACTAAAAGAAAGCGTTTTGCAAAGTTTTAGGTTGCGGAAACTTGCGGTTCATGAGATATATTTTTTTAAACTTTTCATACAAATTGGCAATTAACACACAATTACACCAATTACAAAATGAATTTGACAAATCATTAATATCAAACGTCAATTAGTGTAGGGTTTCGAATATTTTGAAAGTATCGATACGTACTCGATACCAAGTATCGTATCAAAAGTATCAATACTACTTGGTATCGAGTACATTTCGTTAATTTTGGAGACTAGGGGGGTAAGAAGCCGGGGAAGTTGTGCTCCGGCGCTCCGTGGCAGCTCCGGCGCTGCGGGAAGAGCAGTGCCTCCGCCCTAGCGTAGGGAAGCACAGGCACCTGGTCTCGGGCTCTTATATACACTCTAGGGGTAGGGCAGACAAGACCACGTGGATAGTGGGGTGCTCTGATTCGGTTTTGGGTACTTTTTTGAATATTAAATAAGTAAGTCAATAAGTAAGTAAACACTTTATTGTAGTAAGAATTAGATAATACAGAAAGTTGCAAACAATAAAATAAAAGTACAAAAGCTGTACTAATTAAGAAATACAAACAAGTTGCAAACAATAAAATACAAGTACTAAGGTGGAACTTAAATAGAGTAAACTTTATTCTACTTTATATACATATATAATTGCACTTATCAGCTCTTCCTATGCATCTAATTGGTTTTTCATAATTTTTCGTCTCCAAAATTAACGAAATGTACTCGATACCAAGTAGTATTGATACTTTTGATACGATACTTGGTATCGAGTAGGTATCGATACTTTCAAAATATTCGGAACCCTACACTAACTGACGTTTAACATCAATCATTTGTCAAATTTATTTTGTAATTGCGTGTTATTTACCAATTTGTATGAAAAGTTTAAAAAATATATCTCATGAACCGTAAGTTTCCGCAACCTTAAACTTTGCAAAACGCTTTCTTTTAGTGAGTACTATCTACAAAAAACATATGGGCTTTGAAATCGATGGTCCATGTTGGAAAGATTAGCCCACATTATTGATTATAATTAACAGCATCTATTTTTAATCTTCTACTCTCTCATTGGGTACCAATTTCTACAAAATTTAATTTTTTAGAAATTGATACCCAATGATTTTATTATTAAAAATATTTTAGCTCCTAGCTAATGAAGTGGAACAGTATTTGATTTAGGAGCCTTAATCCTACTCGTATTAAAGATATACATATAATAATTATAGGAAAATGGTCATAAGACATAGTATCTTAACGGATTACCTTGATTTTCTGTACACCCGGGAACACAACAATGTTTATCTGATGACATTATTACACCAAGATTTACTAATATTATACACTTAAAACTATAATAGAAGGAGTCCTGTCTCAATTGTACAAAAATACACTAAAATTATGAACAAAATAAGAGTCTTATATAATAAACAATATATACACGCTAGGGAAGTTCGATGATCAAATCGAATACGAATCAAATATTTACATTATTTTTATTTAAACTTTTGTACTCGGTCAACGAAACTGACACTGACAGCACATCACAGGTCAGTAAAAGATTCTCGTTAGGGATGTTCGATGATCATCGATGTTCGACGATCATCGATGTTAGAAATTAAAACATCGATGTTTTAACGTCGATGTTACCACACCTTAAACATCAAAACATCAATAATCGATTAATAAGAACTTGTGAACACTGCGAACCCACGAAATCAATATCAACTAAATATTTCATTTTCTGTTAAAAATTCAACATTTTGAATAATTAAGGATTCCTAAATTAATCGATAACCTAAAAAAATATCATTATGTTGTGTCAAACTCCCTGTCAAGTGTGAACTGTAATGTCACAGTTGTAACTATTTTCGCTTTGTTATTGTGGTGTCGCTGTCGGTTGTCGCCTAATAACTATTCTACATAAATTGATATTCAAACTACGTGTTTTTTCCCTTGCTGTCCATATACACATAATTTTGAAGCAATATGTATCTACACAATTTAATCATATTTAGTTGTTTTTTGTTTGCTTGAAGTTTATGAAAATAAATCACTGGGCGATCGTGAGCGTAGACAACTTCATTGCATAGAGCATTCTACAGTGCATTTTATAAATAGCTGTGGATAATATGTGTGTGGTGCTTGGGCTACCTGATTAAAAATTATGTAAACAAAGGTGACTGAAAAGTCTATTATTTTGTTTTTTTGTGAAGTTTGTTAATTTTCTCTCTATAATCATTTTTTTCATTTCGCGAGAGATAAGGATAGTTATTTTTTTAAACCAGATTTATAATTGTATAGGCATATTTGAATATCAAAATAATAATATTCATCATTATCGGCAAAAAATAGTTTTTCCCATTTTTTAAATTAACGTTTCACACTAAATGTTTTATTAATTTCTTTAATTTCATTAATAATAAACCATAAACAACACTACTAATTTCAACCTACTAAATAGGTACATGTGCTTTAACATCGATAATAGCCAACAACGATGTTTGGAGCAGGATAACATCGAATATCGATGTTACGCTATCAATATCAACATCGATGTCATCATCGATGTTTCTGTAACATCGACCATCCCTAATTCTCGTTTCATTCTAGGACGATAGACGGAGCGATTTTCACATAATTTTATAATTTGAAATGTACTTTTCATCCACGATATTTGTAAAAAATCACATAAATCACATTTAAAATTAAAGTATTGTTAGGAGATTATTGTTGAATATAATTTTAAAGCAAATCGTATATAAAATTATTTAAAATGTAGGGAAATTTTGGGATAGGGCAATGGAACTCACGGGGCCAGCAGCTGGCCGAATTCATGGAGAAAGAGGGACATTTTATGATGAACTCTTCCTTCCAGATACGGCCCCACAGAAAGTGGACCTGGTCGAGCCACGACAAAAAACGAGATTGACTTCATTATGACGACCAGACGCCAACTGTTCAATGATATCTCAGTGATCACAAGGGTGAAAACTGACAGCGATCACCGAATGGTTAGAGGCACACTGAACCTAAACGTTAAGTTGGAGAGGTCTCGTCTAAAGAAGTCAACGCTCCGTCCCACTCGTGCTCTAATCCAGAATCCCGAAACCCTTCAGCTCGAGTTACATAGCTCGTGGAAACTGTCCATGCGGTCGGAGCTAAGTTCTGCAAGACCTGCCGCAGAAGAACACAAAAACTCTCAGATCACACTCTTAATCTCATGGCTGATAAACGGGATATGAGGCTGCAATCGTCAACAGATTTGACAGCATAAAGGCAACTGAACAGACAGATCTCCAAATGTATGCGGCGAGACTTACTCAACTTAAATACTGCTCGTATAAAAGAAGCGATCGAGCGGAACCAGGGCTCCAAAGTCTTTGCCAGAGATATATCTGCCAGAAAGAGCCAACTGTCAAAGCTGAAGACTGAGTGTAGCAGCATCGTTTCCGGGACACCTGAGATTTTGAGTGAGATTGAGAGGTTCTATGGGCAGCTGTACACATCATCGTTGGAGCCACACGCAAGTGTGAGTATCGATCCAAGAGCAAGTCTTATCCGACACTATTCCGATTATATCCCGGACGTCAGTCTGAGCGAGATTAGAATGGCTCTCCAGCACCTTAAAAATGGCAGGACCCCAGGCGAGGATGGAATTACAGCGGAGCTTCTGAAAGCGGGTGGAACACCGGTACTTGAAGTCCTTCAGAAGCTCTTCAATTTCGTCCTCCATTGTGGCACTACTCCGGAGGCGTGGAGCAGAAGTGCGGTGGTCTTGTTCTTTAAGAAAAGCGACAATGCTCTCTTGAAGAACTACCGACCGATTTCCCTTCTGAGCCGCAACTACGTGCTGTTTTCGAGAGTCATTACGAATCGTCTCGCATGCAGGCTCGACGACTTCCAGCCTCCCGAACAAGCCAGTTTCCGAAAAGGCTTTAGTACCATAGACCACATATATACCCTGCGGCAGATTGTACAGAAGTCCGAAGAGTACAATCTGCCACTTTGCCTGGCGTATGAAGACTATGAGAAAGCTTTTGATTCCGTCGAAATTTGGGCGGTGCTACAGTCCCTTCAGCGGTGCCAAGTTGACTGTCGGTATATCGAAGTGCTGAAGTGTTTGTACAGTAGGGCTACGATGGCTATCCGAGTACAGAACCAGTGTTCGAAACCTATCCAACTGCAGAGAGGTGTGAGACAGGGTGACGTTATATCCCCGAAACTCTTCACCGCTGCATCGAAGACGTTTTCAAGCTACTGGACTGGAAAGTATACGGTATTAACATCAATGGCGAGTACATCACCCACCTTTGATTTGCCGACGATATAGTCCTTATGGCAGAATCGCTGGAGGACCTTAGCACTATGCTCAATGACCTCAATGGTGTCTCCCAACGGATAGTGCTTAAGATGAACATGGACAAAACAAAGTTCATGTTTAATGTCCATGTCACACCTATGCCGGTAGTTGTTGGGAGCAGTATGCTCGAGTTGTTGACGTGTACGTTTACCTGGGACAAATATTCCGACTAGGTAAGTCCAACTTCGACCGAGAGGTCAATCGACGGATTCAACTCGGTTGGACAGCGTTCGGGAAATTATGACATATCTTTTCATCAGGTATACTTCAATCTCTGAAAACTAGATTGTACAACCAGTGTGTGTTACCAATGATGACTTACGGATCTGAGACGTGGTCCTTCACTGCTGGCCGTATGATGACGCTCAAGGTCGCTCAGCGAGCTATGAAGAGGGCTACACTCGGAGTTTCTCTGCGTGATAGACTCAGAAATGAGGATATCCGCAGTAAAACCAGAGTGACCGACATAGCCCAACGGATTAGTAAGCTGAAGTGGCAATGGGCCGGCCATATAGCTCGAAGAACCGATAACCGATGGGGAAGAAAGGTTCTCGAGTGGCAGCCTCGTATCGGTAGGCGTAGTGTAGAGCGACCCCCCACTAGATGGAGTGACGACCTGGTAAGATATGCAGGCAGTCGATGGATGCAGGTGGCTCAGGACCGTGCTTGTCCGTGTTGTGGAGGCCTATGTTCAGCAGTAGACTTCTGAAGGGCTGTAATGATGAATGATGATGAGATGATGTTGCATAAAACGTATTTAAATTCATATATCGTAAAATTGTCAAGAAGAACAAAGTTTTTTCTTCTTGGAAATTTTACGATATTTCTTGACAATGTTACCATGACGTAAACATTTGAGGGCTACTCAGCTAATCAAACCCTCAAATCACTTGAGTGATGTTTCTGTATTTCAGTTAATGCTCAAATTTAGGTGACCTATAATAAAGTGACAGATTTAAGTTGCGTTTCAGTATTCGGGCATTATATTATAAACAATATATACACACAATAAACACGAGTTTTATCTCAGTTGCACAAATATCACTGTTATTATATAAACCGGAGCAACAAAAGCTCAACTCAACGATAAATTCACAGATGAAAATCTTAGATTTATAAATATTTAAAAAAAATACTAATAAACCATGCAAGCACAAAATTATCAGTAACAGACATTTTTGAAATTTTGTTGATTTTGAAAAAGTTTTTTTTTTTTTGGAGTTTATGGCCTGGTATCTAGACACTGACCTCTACATATACAAGTACGCTGGATTGGCTATACACCGTGACATGATGAAGCGATTTGATTTCCGCCATTTTGGTGCTGACAGCAGAAGTGCACGTCCACAGAACTAGTAATAGGGATAAGACAGTGTACCAAATTATATCGATAAAATTCTATACCCTACCATACCTAAATAAATAGAATTGACTCTATAGATAAATGGACTCTATCCGTAACGTCCATTCTATTTATGTATCATATTAATATAATGCCATTATCATTCATCATGGAATTCAAGGAATGCCACAAAGCACTGTCCTGTGGCGCATCGCCAATCGCCATACCAACACTCCTCTTCCCTTTCGACTCCACCTCGACTACAGCGGCACAGGAAGAGGAATCTCCTCCAGCCGCAGTACATACAACGTGGCTCGACATCATTCGGCCTTGAGTTTGGTGGAAAATGAGGAAAGAAGAAATAAAAAACATTCGAAATAATAATCTATTACTTTTATACTTACTGGTACTGGTACTGCCAGAAAATATTGTCGGTATACTGCACTTTTTCAAAGTGGTGTAGTTCTCATGTCTAATAAAATAGTCGTCTGTGAAACGTTTGGAACAAATATGATCATTTTGTTTCGAACGCCAATTCACAATATTTATGCTTTTAAGCCATAAATTTAGTCTAGGTTCAGTTAGAAACCTGTTAATTAATAAATATTTG